TGTCCAGCAGCAGGAAGACCTGGGGGGGGGGGGGGGGGGGGGCAGGAAGGTGGAGCGGCATCGCTCTAACTGGAGTGTCCCCCCCGGACAAGGTGCCCTGCCCCACAGGCTGCTGGACTGGAGAGTGCCTGAAGGTGGGTGCCCAAGACAGAACGTTGGCGGACCTTCCTCCGCCACTCAACAGCCTCCCTTCCTGAGACAGCCGGGCTAGCCCTGAAGCCGGTGCTACCGATCCTTCGGCTGACTGCGCTGGGGACATCACCACCCATTCTGACACTGCCCTGCTGGGAGTGGCACACGCCTTCATGTCTGCCACAACATGGACAGGTCTGTGCTGCCGGGCACACGCTGGACCTGCTGTCGGTGCCGGGTGGGTGACATGACCTCAGAGTCATGGCACTGCCTGGACTCACTGGTGACGGAGCCCCTACAGGGGCGGAGGGCCAATTAAGGGGACCCATCCCAGAAGGCCGATGGAGCCGAACAGTTTCCTGATGGATCTCAGGGATTTTCATGTTTCCTCAGCAGGCAGCTCTATCAAAGCCCCGGGGGATCTCTGGAATGAAGAAATGGCCAGGGAAGCAGTTGCTCCTGAGCCCCCTCTTGCGAAGCAGAGCTACCCCAGCACCCTGCTTTTCAACAGCTCGAGTGACTTGGGCAGAAAACTCAGAGTGGCTCTAACCAAGCACCTTCAAATAGGCCTACTTGAAGGCCTTTTCTGCGGCAAAATGGGCAACAAGGAAGAAATTCTAATTCTGCTGCAACTGCATCTGCAAAGAGCTGTTCTGCAGAGCTGTTTCAGGTGGCCAGGTGTCTTTTACACCTGAACCTGCAAGGGGAGGACTTGGGCCTTTCAACAGCCCATTGCAAGCAATTTGCTCACCCCTCAGCAGGCAAAATCACCCAGGTCAAGTCTGATGTGGATGCTGTTGCTGATGCAGCCCCACGCCTGTAAATTTAGCTCCCGCTTGTCCAGTGTTATGGGCTGCTTTTGGATTTGTACAGCCTGAGGATGTGGCCAGGAGCTTTGCAGAGGTGAGAACCACCAAGTTTCTGGGTTCTTGCAGTTCTTCGCTCATAAAAGCATCCAGAGTGGGGCTGGCCAGGGGGTATGCAGTCTGACTAACGCCTCTGCTGGTCAAGCCGGGGTGCCAGCCTGTCGGGGGGAGGAGGCGGTGGTGGGCACATGCTGAAACACCCTCTCTTCTATCCCCTCTATTTGAAACTCCCAGCCCGTCGCCAATACTTCATGGTTGAGCAAGGTACTGGAGCACGCGGTGCCCTCCCAGCTCCAGGGGCTCCTGAAAGAGATGGAGCTTCTGCATGCATTTCAGTCTAGCTTCAGAGCCGGTTATGGGACGGAAGCAAGCCTTGTGGATGACCTACGCTAGAAACTGTCCAGGAGAAGTGCACCTGAAGGTGGTTCCGCTAGGCCCTCTCACTTCTGATCCAATCAGCTATGGTGTCCTTCACTGGGATGGGAACCGGAGGCCCGACAGTAGCTCCGTTCCTTCGTGGAGGGGCAGATCCAGACAGTGGCACTGGGGGACTCTTGTTCGACTCCCTGTCTGCTGGCCTGTGGATATCCTTGTGGCTCAGTTGTCCCCCAAGCTGATCAGAGTTCTGTGGTTTGGCCCCAGTACTGGGAATCAACTAAGCTGACAACATACAACTCTGTTTTTCCTTCCAGTCTTATTCCAGGAAAGCCGTTTCAGTCCTTCCCCCCACACCCCATTTTTTATTATTTTTTTAGACCAAAAAAACCCCACAAATACAATACATCATAACAATAATGTAACAAAAACACAATAAAATAAATGAAAAAGTGCCCCCACCACCCCAGAGACCAATGCTACCACCATTCACATACTGTAACAATTAATAATATATAGTATACTTCAGTTATTTCCATATCCCCTCCAGAAGTTCATATAATCTTGACTGGGTTTACAGCCTTTGCCTTCTATCAGTACTGCTTTTACAAAATCTTCCCAGATTTCATTATATTTATTTGCTTTCATTAACCCTCTTTTAATTTTTATTTCTGTCGTCAGTTTATCATTAATTACCATGTTCCATATTTCATTATACCAGTCATGCCTTTGCAAAACCCAGTTCTGTTTCCTATATCTAACTGTCACTAACCTAACTGCCATTGTTTCAGCCCTGAATCAGCGCGCCTCTTGCCAGGAACAGCCGAGCTGAGGCTTGATCCAGACAAGACAGATGTGCTTATCGTCAGCCAGAGGCGGGGCAAGGAAGAGGGAGCCGAGGAAACAAGTGAATCGAGGATTCATCCTGTGCTGGATCGAGCTGCACGCCGCCTACACAGCTGCAGCCTGGGTGTACTTCTGGATTCCACTCCAAGTCTGGACGCCCAGGTTTCCACAGCAGGCAGGAGTGCCTTTCCAGAATCAGAACCAGCATGTCAGCTGCACCAGTTCCTGGAGGTGCCTGGCTGGGCCTTAGTTACCGCCTGCTCGGAGTACCGCAACATGCTTGGCATGGGGCTGCCTCTGCTGGCCCAGAGCTGTGGCTGGACTGGTGACTGGCTACAGCGAGCACAGAACTCAAACCGCTTCACTGGCCCCCAGCCTGTTTCCAGGCTCAGCTCGCAGTGCTGGTTATGAACTACAAAACTCTGCACTGTTCAGGACCAGGTAACCTGGAGGACCACATTCTCCTCTGTGAGTCTGTCTGTACCCTCCTCTTGGTCCCTCCCAGGCACACCTGACGGAAACATGGGAGAGGGCCTCCTTGGTGGTCGCAGCTCCCTTCCCAGGGAGACCAGATGGGTGCCCTTCCTGCTATGCTTTCACAGGCAGGCCACATCTTTTCTTTCCCAGCCAGCTTTTGGGAATACTCTGACCCTGTAAGATTCCACTGGACTGCCGATGCTGCTTTTACCACCGCTTTAATTTTTGTCTTTCATATCATGTCAATATTCTGCCTAATTTAATTAAATGTTGACTTTTGTATATTGCTGTCCATGCTTTAACTGTATATATGTTTTTCATGCTGCAAGCTGTCCTGAGCCCCAGTGCCAATTAAGCCTAGGAAACCCAAGCCCGAGGTGCCTGAGAAGTTTTCTGGAAGAAGCGTTCGTGCGAAAATTGGAACATGGGCATCTCAGTGAAGTCTTTCAAAGAAACACACAGCCAGAAGGTGTTTGCTTACAAGCTGCCCCAGCTTTTGCCAGTTGGTAAATAACTATCTCATAATTTGGTCTGAGCTTAAGACCAAGTAATTAAGGGAAACACCTGTGGAGATAGACTCCTGGGCTCTACCCCAGCAACTGTCAGGCACCTCTTCAGTCAAAGTCCACTCCAAGTTAATCTGAGCACATACAAAAGGAACTCCCCTTCTCGGCCCTAATCCTGGCTCTTCTCACACCTGGCATGCAACATGGGAGAAAGCCACCACATTCTCCTAGTCAGCAAGGACAGGTAAGGACCCAGCACCGCATACAGCCCTGGAACTGCAGAGGCCACAAGTCAGCTCTGAGTTGAACTAGCACAGAATGGTTGAATAAGCAAGGCTGAACGCGCTTAGCTGCAGTGGATCGTGGCCAAAGTGATGGAAGCCACCCCGCCCACTGCCAACACCAGAGCCAACTCTTTCATGAGTACAAAGCTGGCATTCTCACACCCAGGAGCCCATTATGTCAGAGAACACCACATTTTTCTTCACGTCGTCTTCTTTCAACACCTTCATTTTTCTTCTTCATTTTTCTAGAGTGCACAACAGAGGATGGAAAATGCATCCGATCCCTTATCCAAGGGATAAGGCTCGCAAGACAAAGCGATGGCGTACAGTCAGCACTCTTTACAGCACAGCACACCACGCTGAAGGATTATGAGCCAGTTCACAGACTTCCAGGAACAAACCTTCCTTACATGTCATGGCGGGAACAGAAGCACTTGTGCACCTCCGTCATGCCACTAGAGCGCAACGTGGTAGAACGGACGTGTTTTATGTTGTCTCATGCTCAACCGATGACGGCCGATACACAGTGCACACTCACAGAGCCAGTGTAGCACATTATGGTGAAGGGAGAAAAGCACTCATGCTCCAGCGCCACAGGTACAGAGAATTTGTTCTGGCTCAGTCTCTGAACCCACCCCAGCATCCCCTGGAGGCATCAATTAGTCAGACCTGCAGCGGAAAAAACCTTTGCTCCTCAGAGGCACTGAATTTGGAAGCCAACTGTTTCCCAAAGACAAAATGCCCTCCCCCTCCACAGCAATAAATCTAGCAGCATGGCGAGCTGCTCTGCCTGCTTAATAACCCCATCTAACATGGCTCTTGCACTCGAATGTGAAAAGCTTGGCTGCCCATTGCATTCATCACAGCAAACGCTGCCACACATAAGCCAAGCTCTGAGGGCTGAGAATTCTGACAGTCCCCTGAAGACGGGCAAGAAAGTCTGGAAGGGAACAGAGGCAGAGAGCAGCAGCAGTTCCTGGCCACCTCCCTCCAACCACTATCTTGATTAGTGGCCAATGTTCCCCTCTCAACCCCTTGGGACAACTGGCTGAGCAAGATGAGATAAGCAGGAAAGCAGAGCTTCAGAGAAAGGCGGCCAGGAGCTGCTGCTTCCCTGCACTTCCCCCAAAATATCCCCTCCAGACTTCTCTGCCCGCCTCCAGCAGAGCTCACATGCCCACTTTTGAGGTGATGAAATGTGACACACAGCCAGGCTCTAGCATCCTGCTGCAACATCAGGTAATGCACTTTTCAGAAGAGGGACGGGATTTCAACACAAAAAGCCTCTGTTCTAAATGCTTCGGTTGGGGTTGGCGGCTTCCCAAGGTGCAGAGAAGGTTGTAGTGCCAACAGCTGGAACAAAGGCTGCAAGATCGGCTTGATGTGCGGAGAGTTCCATTTCACCGATGATGTAGCCCAAAGTCCAGAAATGCAAGGGACGCCAGAAAGCCCATCTCGAGCCAGCTGCCCACCTCAGCCATGCAAAGCACACCTCGCCGCTCTGCCGCTCTTACCGTTCACAGCTTTTTCTATCAACTCCTCACAGGCGTTGAAATCTCCCTTCAGGACCAGCTTGTCATGAAGGTCTGTCAGCATGGGGTGCTCCAGTGCAATCTTGGTTTTCTTCTGCAAGGATTCAAAAGCCTCGGTGTAGTTGTGCTGGCGAAAGTGCTTCAGGCAAAGGCGAATGGCTTCCTGTTCACGGTACTACTGGAACACAAGAAAACCTGTGAGAGCAGCACCACAGAGGTCCCGCCCGAATGGCCCCTGCTCTGGACTATACCAGTGAACATGGGGGTTGCACGGAAGGCCCAAGCCTTGTGAAAGGGCGGGGGGGGGGGAGAAAAGTATTCAAATGAATACTCGATATATCTTTCACAGTAGATGCAATGTTTATACCTCAAGTCCACCTCTAAGGGATTCAGGGCAGCATACATAGATTCAGCCCATTTTATCCTCACAACTACCCTGGGAGGATCTGAATCCGAATCCCCTTGGTCCATATCCACCACTGTATCTTAGCTCTCTGCTAAGAGCGCTCTGCTTCGCCTTACACTCAGAGAAATCAGGAGGTTCTGTGCTACTTTTTGTCCCTGCATTGTTACTAAACCAAAGAGATGAGTTGATTTTGAGAAATGCTATCTGGCCAAACTGCTTCAAAACTCAGCACTAGTCATAATTATGTCTACCAATTATCTATGGGAGCATGTGGTGCAGTGGTTAAGTGCGCGGGACTGGGACTCAGGCAATCTGGGTTCTAGTCCCCGCTCAGCCATGGAGCCAACTGGGTGACTCTGGGCCAGTCACAAGCTCTCAGCCCAGCCTACCTCACAGGGTTGTTGCTGTGGGGATAAGACTGAGGAAGAGAATGATGTAAGCAGCTTTGAGATCTTTAAAAGAAAAATGGCAGGATATAAATCTAATAAATTTGAAGTTGTCTTGTACCAAATCAGACCACTTGTTCAGTTAGCTCAGTGCCTTCTACTGCTTTGGTTCTGCTTTCAATGACTGCAGTTTATGTACATGGGTTTTTGTTTCTGCTTGTTTGCTTTCTTTTAAAGCACCAGGAACTTTTTTGGTTCAATTCTAAGGGGTCTAATTAGTTCAAAACTTTTGCAGTATGAAATAATCAAGAAAAGTTCTAACAATATTGTCACTCATATTACAAAAATGTAAATACATATATTTTGAAATGAACATTACACAAAAGTATATTCTCAGAGGCATTCATATGCTCCAGGTTCACAGGCACTCTGTCAAACTAAAGTACTACACCATAGTATGTTGTCTGTAAAAATAATGATTTTAAAAATGCAAAGAGCGTCATACATCACTTGACTGCTGGAATTCAACTATGCTACTTATCCACTGAGCAAAATGCCATTTGGCCCGTAAACTATTGTTTCTCCCTGTCCCACACATTCTCAGCCGTTCCGTAGCCATTTCATATACAGGCCTACCTTGCTATACCAATTGAGGCAGGGCTGGACCACGTCTGGATCATCGATGCCACTGAGTTCAACATACCAGATACTAAAATTGAAACTGGGACCCCACGACAGCAGTGGAACTAGGGAAGGATAAGAAGAACAAAGAGCATCATGTACTGAAACACGGATTCCTACTCACCACAGACTCTGGCTCACTGGACATCTTTCCTGCCTGGTGAGATAAAAAGAGCGCTGGGCCATTTAAGAAAACAGATCAATCCATCAGCTATTAGTGCAGATAAGTACAGGGACAGTAACACAAACTTGTCTTTCCCATGCCCTGCTCTGTTCCACCGTCTCACTCTGGAAACAGAGGCCCTGTGGATTCTCTGAGGACCACAACAAAGCCCAGGAGAGGAAGACATGCTTCCAAATTTTGCAGGAAACAGAAGCCATCAAAGCTCAGTGATTCGAGGCCAGTCACTGATGCTCAGCCTAGCCTACTGCCTAGGGTTGTTGTGTGGATAAGATGGAAAGGAGGACCATGGGCTCCTCCTTGCAGGAAAAACAGTGGGCTAGAAAGATGAAAAATACTCTCCCTCGCAGGAGTGTTAAAAGATGTTTAAAAACCAGGGAAAGAAAATCAGATTGCAGCAGCCTGTGCTACTTGTAAGAAGGGTGAGATAAAAACAGTGAAGGTTCCATGCGTTAAAAATTACTCTTATTTCAAAATCATCCAAGAAAACACTGCCTTTGGCAATCAAGAACTAAACTTCTCACAGCGGATGCAGACACAGTTGAAATACAAACAGAAGATCGTGAATGCAAACAGCATTTAGAATAATACGCTACTTAGTCGGCACTGCTACCCATCCAGGCTTCACATAAACCTGGAATAATGCCGTCATAATGGGTGGAAAGCTCAAATGCAGGTCGTCACACAAATCAGTGTGGGAGCAGCCAGCTATGACTTTATGTGGAAGCAATTACATTCCTAACACTTAGATCATCATGAACAAAGCACAGCTGTCACAACTAAGGCCACTGCCCCAGCTGGCCAAGCACGCAGTCTTGTGGGTCAGCGCTGTCCAACTCAAAAAATGGAAGCTTCCGATGAAATTCAGCAGAATTTTCAGGCAGGCCTCATGGTGTTAAAAAAATCTTGAACAGTAGTATCCCAAGTGCATTCCAGTCAACCTGGAACTCCTAGGAAGCTGCTTAGAGGGCCCTCCATAAGAATGCCAAGCAAGCTTTTTGGAAGGAATGACCACCTGCCATGACCACCTTTTTCCAGTGGTGCACAAAGGCAAGAGGTGGTGTTCTAGAGTGTACTCTCAGTCCACATCGAGTAATGATGCTTCACAGAAACTGCCTGTACAGCCTAGGGACACAAACACGCATTCCAAAATGCACATGTCACGTGCGTGTGTGACATGAGGGAATGCGCGTGGTTTCCATGGTGTGCGGGAGCAGGCATGTTGGTGAAGCAGTTGTTCCCTCAAGATGGAAGGCCTGGGAACTATTTGCCAGAAAACAAGCCTGCATAATGGCATGACAAATTGAGCAACCTGGATTTTAGCTTGAGCAGTTAGGTGGTTTCCACAGGATGCCAGAAAGCCAAGAATTTCAGCCTTCATTCTCACACTCCAGCTAAACACCTTCCTAGTCTGCCAGCAGTTTTGCTTTTTAAGACTTGTTCCAGGTTTTATTTACAAACTAGAATAAAGAAGAAAGGGACACTTTCAAGGACCTTCTATTCTGCAGAGAAAATGCTTAAGGCAAGTGTTTTGTTTCCTGGCATCCAGAGCACCATCTGCCCCAGGAGTTTAACTGATCTAAATGCCCATGCTCCTCCAAAAGTATCCTGAGAATCGTAGTTTGGTAAGATCAGAGCTCCAATCAAGGAACAACAATTCCCAAACTTTCAGGATGACAGATCAAGGGCAGAAGTTTCTGTAACTTCACACAAATATGGAAAACACCTTCAGATCTACTTGTTAAATTATCAAACACATAAGAAAAGCCATGCTGGATCAGACTAACAGTCCATCTAGTCTAGTGCTTGTTCACGGGGTGGCAAATCGGCTGTTACAGGATTCCACAAGCAGGATCTGCCCAAGCCCCTCAGCAACGAGCGCATGCTGGCATGCCTCCTCTGGTAACGAACGCAGCAGATAACATCCCCCTTTTCTTGCAAAGGACTAAAGCCAGAGGCAACGAGACCTGCTCAGTTCTACAGAGAGAGAGGCGAGTGCCATGTTCCCTGTTCCTGGCCCAGATAGCTTTGAAAATAAAACCAGCTTTTGCTTTACACCAAACTCTTCTTCAAGCATTGGCATTAATTGCAGCTTTGCAGGCCACTTGCTCAAAAGGAATGTGCACAGGCAACAAGAAAGAAGCTAACAAGAAAGAACATTTCCTTCACTGCAATATTTTAGACCCAAGAGGGCGGAAGCAGAAGAACACAGACAGAGCAACTGCTTATGAGCCATGTTCCCAATGCAGCCCACGCACCACACGTAGATCGTCAGCAGGCTGTGCTGAGAATGTCACAGAACACCTTCAGATCCATGGAAATCCAAGTGGCTGCATTCACGGTTTGAATACATTTCTCCACAGACCGTTACTGCAGGACCATCCCCTTCCATCAACAGTTTAGGACTGCCTTTCCCACAACCATCGTACTCCCTCTGAAGGTCTCTGTTAGCATTCCATTCTAACAGGCACTATGCTCTCACTTACAAAAAAAATCGTAACAGCAATTCATTTGGAGCAGACAAAAAGGCCCACCTAAGGCCAGTGTTCCAATTCCAACAGAAGCAAGAGAGATGTTTTGCCAAAATCTGCAACAGGTAGCCGCTTTCTCCATTTGTTCCCAGCATCTCTAGCATTCAAACACGGAGACTCTGCTTAGCTCTCATGGCTAACAGGCAGGTAGCCTGGAGCCTCCTGAACCAAAAACTGTATTTCAACACATCTACATTCCTGGTGAGTAAAAAGGACCCAACAGGATGGGTCTGTGCTGGGAAAGGGGATTTCATTTACACAACTAATACTGGTCACAACAGCCACGCTGGATCAGACCAAGAATACATTTTGTCCAGTATGTTGTTCATACAAGGGCCACAATGCAGGGTGCAGCAGCTTGTCATATTCTTTAGCCACCTGAGCATCTTCCACCTGCCACGAGAAGTCTTTTAAAGTAAAACAGAGACAAATGGGACATAAGCTCCAGTGAGGAAAACCTGCTAACATTTAACTGGCAGGGCAACCCAATGATCATGATGCAAATTAAAGCAAATACCCTTGTTTGATTTTAAACAATCTAATTACTTTAATTCAAGGACTGTTGCCGAGTCCGGCATCCCCGGCATACCAAGACAACCATCCCTTCGACCTTCAAACCAGGAAAGCCAGACATTCAGGGCTAGATTTTTGTTGATATACAAGTTTGTTATCTACTGATAACTGCATCGATTGCATTACAGGCTCAAAGGAGGCCTCCGAAACCCACCATAATTTAAGGAAACTATTTGAAATAGAAAAGTACTTCATACTGGATGGATAGATAGAGCAACCGTAATTTTCACAGGGGTTGTCTACATAGCACTTTTTTCCTAAATGGCTTACAAATCTGAGCCCCAGCTCACAAGAGTGATCAGAACTGGTTCTAAGCTGGAAGCACTTAAAGGCTTGAAGTCTGTCAACTCCTTTTTGACCCATGACCCTCTCAGCCCAAGAAGGAATAGAGGGGCACTCTTGGCAGCCACTCCCTGCCAAAACCCTAGCAGAAGTAAGTATAAATATTTGAATATTATAAATTCATATACCAAACTGGATTACAGGATGATATACATAGAATTTCAACACAACATTAAGGTGTTAATGACTCAATATTTATTGAATTGTTTAAACAATAAGGCCAACTAAAACAACATCAAATTTTAATGCTTGGGAAATAAGGTTTCAATGTAAGCACCAATACCTTGAACTGAATTTTCATTTATTCATTTATTTATTTATTTGGGGTTCTTGTATGCCGTCCCATTTGCATAAGCCTCGGGACGGCTTCCAATAAATAAATAACAATACAAAAATATAAAAAACTGGACACATCTGGCAATAAATAAAAACCAATAAATAAACAGTTAATTAAAATAACGTTTAAATAAAAAAGTCTTGGCCTGGTGCCAAAAAACAAATAACGAGAAATATTTTTTCTTTCTATTAATTTTCTGTTTCCTTATATTTAGATACATTATAATTAATGCATCCAAAACTTTTGTGTGTACTTTCCAGTTATTCATTAAAATAGACAAAATAACCATGGAAGTCCCCAAAACAGCAGGGAGCTATGCCTCAATATCTCTCAGGAAAAACATTTGGGGAAATCTGGCAAATACAGCCAGCCTTTCTACCAATCAAGCCTTTGAAAATCTTTTTCAAGTTCACAGTCTCTATTAACTCCAAAGGAAATTCGAGTTAATATGATACTGTACCGGCACCTCAATGCCTCCCCATGTTCTTCCACCCTTTTAAGCTGTCTTCTCTCCAAGTGCCTACAATCTATGCCAATGCAAAACACGACCAAGTCTGGTTTTGTGATAAGATACCCTCCAAAGCACACTCAAGGAAACTGACCATCCTGTCACATAAACAAATATGTCAAATTTAGGTTTTGTAAAGGAAGTCATATTTGCAACCACTTTTCTGGCTTAATTAATTGCTTTAAGCAATTAGACTCCATTGGGGGGATACTGTATTGTTCTCTCAAAAGGATCAATACACACCATTGATCATTAAAAGTGCTTACAAACACTGTAAGATGCTATTACATTTCAGTTTCCAAATGGGTTAGTATGATCAAGCAGTCACAATCAATTGGCTTAAGATGAATATCTGACATTTAGTCTTTCTTATGTAAGAAATTCAAGCAAAAGCTCAAGAATGATGCAGAATGACCTCCAGCCGACTGCACCAACCATCATTCCTTTTCACAGAGACCCAAAGCTCTGCATTCCATGCATGATTTCTTCTCCAACGAGTTTCTAAAATGAGAAGACCTAAGGATCAAATGTGACTGCTAGCCACATACTCTCTGGCCGGGGGAAAGGGAAACAAAAAACGGTAAGAAAAAGAGAAGAGAGGACATGGTTGATTTTTTAAAAATTACACAGAGAATGGAGAAGAGAACAGCTTAAGTTGCTTCCCCTCTCCCACAGGATTAGAACTCAGGATCATCCAGTGAAATTCACTGAATGCAAGAATGGCAAAAGGAAACAGTCCTCATGATACATAATCACATTAATTAACTAACAGAGCTGGCTGCCACCAACTGCAGTGATAACTTTAGATGGCTTTTTACAAAACTATTATTTATTTAGAATAATTCTAGGCTGCCTTTAAAAGTGGAAGGATTGGACGAGTTGATGCATGATAGACCTATTAATGTCCATAAATAGAAACTCCAGATTCAGAGCCAAGACTTATTGAAGACTTGGAATAGCCACCACCTCCGTACCTTGCTGATGAGCTTCTGAAAGGCTTCCCACTGCGGGATGCGTAACCCTGGGCAAGAGAGACCTTTTCTCTGACCGCACAGCTCTTCTTATGTATCGAGATCTTAGAAGTTCAGGTGCGGCTGTCATTACTCAGAAGTGAAGAACAGTGCACATAATGCACAGTGAAATGCTATGCCTGGTTTTGAGTGTTAACTCTTATTGACAATTCCATCAATAAAAATAGACTTTCTCCATAATAACAATGTATTCATTGTCAGCTGGATGCTCTCAGCTAATGTCACACCAAGGACGGAAGGTTGCTGCAAGATACACGCTCCAAACTGTTGGTACAGTGAAATTCCGCATTCCAACTATGTGGGAAATACACAGACCCTGTGCATAGAACATCAGTGGAATTTGCTTCTGAGAAGAGATACGATACCACATTCTGCACTAGCTGAAGAAGCTTTGAAATCTTCTTCAGGAGCATACCAAGGCACAGTGCATTACAACTGCAAAGCACTGAAGTCCCCCGCCCCCCAAAAAGAGCTTCTATTCCCTCCTAACGCTACCAGCTAGATAATCAGCCTAAAGAGATGATGAAGTAAAAAGGCCTGCAGATACAAGGTCATCACAAGCATGAACACAGACGAGAGAAGACTGATCACATGAGCACCAGGAAAACTGTATTTACCTATCTTAATAAATCGGCAAGGGAACATCTGTTCATCAATTTTATGCTTCAAGGTGAATGTTTCTTTGTTATAGTCATTCTTTAAGCCACTGTGGAAGGAAAAATACAAGGCTGTTAAATCATACCATGGATTTTAGCGCTAAGTAGTAAATACATTTTATGTTTTTCCTGACTCGTAACTAGGTGTGGTCAGACAGGAGCTATAATGCTCTATACCCCTGAGCATCTGGGTGAGGCAGCCCCAGGACATGCACAGCCGCACTCTCCTTTTCCGCACGTCATTTCCCCAGTTTTAAGTCAGCTACTCATGTTCCAACATTAACTTTTTAAAATGTGCTGAGAAAAACTTTGGAAATTTCATACAAAATTCAGCGTTCATACGAAGCATGCGTATGCGACTTGGGGTGTATGAAGCAAAAGGGAAGAGGAGAGACGCAAGGGGCAAGGTTTTCTCCCCCCGCTTTGCTTCATGCTCCCACAGAAACTCGCTAAACACTCAGATCTTCTGCCTGCGCTGGATGGTGGGCTGTTCACAAGAGCCAACACCAGGCTCCTCCAGTGGCAGGTAAGCAGCGGCTTCACATGGCACCAAGGGGCACCGACTCGTTCGCGTACGGCTCCAGAAATGACCAAACTCTGTATCTGGGTCGAGCTGGAAGCTCTGTTATGGCAGCAGCCAGATCCCACGAGTTCCCCAGGACTTAACATGGGCAACCAGCCCGCCTTTGTTAACCAGTACGAAGAAAGCACACAAATGAATGTCTTCACACAGAAAGCAAGCAAGGCTCCCATAGCACAGGAAAGTCTGGGGAGCGACCAGAAACAACCGCAGTCTGGCTGGAGTGCGGGGCTGGATGAGGGTTCATAAACTGAGACTTAATCCAAACAAGACGGAGGTCTTGTGGGTAGGGGGTTCCACTCTCCAGGTATGCAATCCTTGACCTGTTCTGGGTGGGGCTGCACCCCTGCTAAGGGACAGGGTGTGTAGGCTGGGAGCGCTCCTCGGCCCAGAGTTATCCTGGGAGTCCCAGGTGACGACTGTGGCGAGGAGCACTTTCCTTCCACTTGGGCTGATCCACCAACTATGCCCTTCCTTGGCTGAGCAGAGCCTAGCAACTGTGGCCCAGGCTCTGGTAACCTCCCGACTGGAGTGTTGCAACACGCTCTGCGTGGGGCTGCCCTTGAAGACGGCCCAGATACTGAATTGGTCCAGAATAGAGGAGCCAGGTTGCTAGCAGGGGCCAGCAGATATATACACATAACGCCAGTCCTGTAGCATCTGCACTGGCTTCCAATTGAAGTTCAGGCCCAATTTAAGGTGCTAGTGGTGACTTATAAAGCCCTAAATGGCTTAGGACCTGGATATTTGAAGGAGTGCCTCCTTCCATATGTACCTGCCCAGCCCCTGAGACCTGGAGTGGAGGCCCCTCTTCAGGAGCCCTCTTTGAAGGAGATCAGAAGAGCGACTACTCGGGGAAGGGCCTTCTCTGTGGAGCACCCCGGCTGTGGAATGGGTTCCCCAGAGAGGTGTGCCTGGCGCCAATACTTTTTCCATTTTGGTGTCAAGGCCAACCCCTTTTTATTTCCCCATTATTTTAAATGTGGGTAGCATTTTAAGATTGATTTTGTATATTATTATCTGGATACTGTATCTTATTCATTTATTCTATTGTATTACTGCCCTGAAACATCATAAAGGGAGGGATATAAACGCTATTAAATAAATAAATAAGTGGACACTTGCGCAAGACATGGCAGTGTATGCACAGGTGAGGCTTCCCCTTGGGGCAGGCATGGCTTTCCCTAGCGCAGCGCCCCGGCTCGCTGTGGAACTTCCTCTCCGTAGGGAAACATCTGGATTTTCTCCTTCGGAGTCCTCCAGCACATGACTTCCCAAGCTTTTGAGGGAGCACACAGCTAACCCTTCACTTTTTCTTTTTTCAAGGCATGCTGTTTTTCTTTTAGTCCTGCCCAGCTGCAAGGTTTTCCTGCTGCTATATCTGTATGAGGATGTTCATACATCTGGATTGCCCTGTGAATGATTTTTACATGGAAAAATAGCATAGGCATGTTAACTTAAGCAAACACGGGAATGAACAGGAGCCTACAGCAAAACGGAAGGTTGTCCAGAGCAAGAACTCTGAGATAGGAAGGAAAGGAAACTGTGCCCGGCAGAGAGTAAGCACATGGTTGGGATCGACAGCGTCAGGGAGAACAAAGTCCATTTGTTCTGCTTTGTGGTACCCAGCCACGTTTGTGGTACCCAGCCACGTTTGTTCTGCTTTGTGGTACCCAGCCACATTTTTGCTTCAAATCCTGTAATGACCTCATAAGGAGTCGTGTTCAGGACAAGTGATCTGCTTTTGCCAGTGTCCTGCACAGCAGTGAGTTGTCAAGGCTACGGATGGAGTTCTTTGCCTGCAACTGGGATTATTGCCTGGGTGTGCAAGGGCTTTCTCACAAGGACCAAAAGGCCTAACTCCTCACCCTATCTCATCACTACACGGTGAACAGATGAATGCATGAGTTTACTTACAAGTACGAAACTCGGCACACGTATATGGATGCATAGTGAACTTTAAAAAAAAATATTACTCACTAAGAAACAAACCTTAATGGGATGGAGGAGGAGAGTCAGAGATGGGCAGACTTGTGCTGTACATGATTCAGGGTGTATTGTACGTGAAAGCCTTACCACATGTGCTGACCAATGGAGTTCTTAACATGCTCTGCACCCGCAAGGGATGGAAAACAAGTGGCAGACTGCAGCAATCACACGGTCTGCACAGATTCCCAATGTACAGACACCTTACCAGGGGGCCAGCTCTGCCATGCAGCACAGCAATGAAACCTGCTGCAGGCAGCGCCCACAAGGAAAGCAACCAAGTTCAGACAACATAACCCTCACTCGAGGGCTCAGTACAGGTTGAGTATGGGTTATCACTGAACAAGGAGTGTTTGCTGAAATGTGGGTTCTCATATTTTCCATGGTGAATAAACGTGGTGAACCACTCCACCGTTCACAACCCAAGTACAAGAAGCCATGGGTTTTCTTTATGGATTGTTCAGCGTTAACAAGCCACGGCTCCTTAGAAAAGCTACGTTCAGAGGATGTAACAACACATGTTGCAGCAACAGCTGGTGCTCAGGCCTTGAGTATGAAATACCATGCAGTGTAGTCTGAACCCAATCAGAGGGGCGGGAAGGAAATATAGGACTAAGATCATCCACATCTTCAATCAGTGACCTCTAGAAGTCGCCGCGACATCACTTCCAGCCAACAACAATGGAAGTCAGACACAGTCTGGCAAACTACAATTATGTAAATAATAGCTAGATTATACATAAATTAATCCAGACTGGGAAGCCTGCACTCCAAGCTAAGCCTTGAGCAACTCCAAATCATATACCCAACACGTAAGGAGCCGTATCTGCAAAACGACAGATTTGCATCCAGCCCAACACTTTGTCCCAGCACAAACACCTCCATGCCAATCCCCGCTTTTTACCACTCTGCTGCCACTGGCTGGTGCTCGGTCACCAACAGTGAGTTAAAAAGGGAAGCATAAACTAGGCAAAAGAGGTGGATTTGAAAGCTGGGTCCTTCACTAGAGCACGCCTTCACTCCGAGTATATTCAGCTCTATCAGTCTTGAAATGAAACTGCAAAAAAGATGTCCAAAGACAGCAAGCTATCCTTCTTACCTAGATAACAAATCCGTCATGTTTTCTTCATTCATCCCACCGAAAACTTTAAACTTCTTTAAATTACAGACATGGGTCTTCTCATATTTGCCAAATGTGATACTCTGGACTATGGCAGGTCTTTCAAGCTTTAAGATGAGATACTAGGGAGGAAAAAAAAAGATAAGGATCTTTCTTCTTGCTTTAACATTTGTCATTGGACAATGAAAGAACATCCATATTAGAATCTTACAACAAGCCTAACAGGAGCATTAGCAGGATAGGTTAAGCCGGTAAATTTAAATGGAAAATTCTGTTCCACAGGGCTTCTAATCATCCAAATGGAAGAAACCAGGAGAAGGTCCTTTTCATATGTTACACAGAAGCAAATCTGGATTCAAAACAGAGAAGCAACCTACATAACAAGGAGCAAGAGCCACTCAGTCTTGATTCTCTGATGAACATACAGTATGCAAGTTTCTAATCACTACAAAATAACTTTACATAAGGCATTTTTGTGCAGATTCTCTTGCAGTGTATTAGAACTTTTCTGGCTGCTGTGCACTGCTACTATGGCATCACACTCTACTCTCCATTGCGCAATTGTATCAACGCAATTTATAAAATAGATTTCAACTGTGTTACAAGTAATCCCAAGGGCTTTGTTGAGCTATGGTTGCAAGATATATATATTTTTAAATTATTTTAAAATCTTTACGTAAATACAGACTTTAAGCATCAGTGATAAAAGGGTAGGGTACAAACACTAGAAATAAATAAAGGTATAGTTTGTCAATTCACCCCATGCAGGGAAGTACTTACTCTGATATACACCACTACAGAGATTAACTCGTTTCATGACTCAAAACGCAACATACGTGCCATATGGGCTTTAGACACATGCATGTATGAAATCAAAATAACACATCAAACAGGACAAGACATCTGTACAAACTTCCACTTCAGGAAAAATGCACATGCCTCTTGTCACTCAGCAAGTCCTTTCGCCAGACTGCAGCTTAAAAATCACTCAGTCGCACATTCAGAAAGTGAGTTTTATTGATCTCTAGGCTGCCGGTCACTTGCACCTGAAAGAGCAAGCCCCTAAGGCCTCTAGGGCGCTGTTTCCATTCAAAATGCACTGGCGCCCTCAACGCATCATTATCACATTGCTGAATATCACAAAGAAGAATTCCTGCCAAAGGGAACTATTAAAGACCATCTGGTAAACGCATGAAAGAACCATAGAACAGGATTACTTAACTGCTATTTTTGGATGAAATACTAGCTTTATTTTAAAAAAAACTATTCAAAGATACATTTTGCTCAAAGTTAACACTAAAAATAAACAGGCCAGAACTCTTACCAGTAGCCGAAGTGCCACACATCGGAAGCAGTGCTTCCTTAGGAACTGTGCTACTTCATTGCAGGCAGCCAAGAGCAGGAAAGCTTACAGCCCTTTGATTCCCAAGAACCAAGGTATACTGGAAGCGACTCAGAGTGCAAAGGTCACTGTTTCTCTGCACCAGGCAGCCCCCTCCGATCACTGCTCCTGCGCAAACCCCCAGGAAAAACAAATATTGCGGCTGTTCTCCCACTTTCAAGCAGACCAGGATAAAGGCTTTCTAACTGAAAGGCTTTGTTATGTGCAAGCTGATTAGCTAGGCTGGTCTCTACAAAAGAGGAGTATTTCCCAGGTTAGTGATAGAAGAAGCAAAGTTCCAGTATGAGTCATTAGGGAAATGCAGTTAATAATGCCAAGTTGATTCCACACTGACTACTTCTCTCTTCCAAGCAGAAAAGACTAAGAATCAAGAACTAATTAGATAACACACACAGTTAAAATACAAACAGGCAGAATGCAGGCTGAAAACCAGGCAGGCGGAATGGTCTTGCAATGTTGCACATTCATCCAGATAGCTGAGACTTGGGGAAGTTATTTTTGGGGGTGGCTGAGGCAGTGGTGAGGAGGAGGAGGAGGAGATTCAAAATCCCCAAATAAAACACTTACCTGTGGAGGGTAGTTGCTTTCAGAAGACCACCGCGAAGACTGATCATTGGGCTTGTCTACTAAAATATTCCTAAAAGACACAAACAAAAGTTTGATTAGCCTCCAAAGTCTTATTTCAACACATACCAACAACTATGGAAAACTAAAAAATAGATTGCAGACTGAAAATTCTCTCTATATATAGATAGATATATATTCATATATATTTATATTCCAATACACAAGAAAAGAGACACAAAGGAGTTCAGCAACTATAGAAACCATTGCACTAATTCCCCATGCAAGCAAACAGTTACTTTGCAACAAGGTGGATCTGAGTTAAATCAAATTGAATTAACTCATGATTATTGAATTAAATTGTGATTTAAATCATGCTTTTCTACAGCATTTGCATGCCTGCCTTACCCATAGGTAAAGGAACAGCATTGAAATATTCCCAAACTGGGGCTCAAGTCTGCTGCCATTACAGGTTTTCTTCTCTGGGGAAAGAATAATAAACAAACCCCAGGCGAGACACAAAAAGATCCAAAGACCTGTGGGGTATTCTGCTCAAAAGGTTTCCCTTTCATTTTTACTGCTTGCCCTTCCCTGCTCACACTTCACTGCTTGTGCAGGTCTGTTCCACTCCCAACAATCTTCTTCTGTTCACTGAATTTTGTGAAACTTCTAATTTAAGAGATATGGGGCTGATTCTGTTTACATCAATTTGCAAAGGAACAATGGGATTAAAGTCTTTTTCTCAATTCTGTATGTTTATTTTATACCATTTTTTGCTGCAAAGAAGAGGTATGCGATCTTTGCAGACACAAATTCACAGTTTTGAGAACTGTAAAACCAAGCATCTGTGATAATATCTTCTAGATAGAAAAAATGCCCAATACTCTTACAGAAACCTCTGGAAGAGCATGACATCGTGAATGGATTAAGAAAATTCATTTACCAAAAAATAAAAAATAAACATTGCTTGAATATGCAGAGTCATGTTTCGTAGTGAAAACCTAATCCTTATTTCATGATGAATAGCCTTTGGACTATAATGTATCTTAAACAGAAAACCATCCTTATTTTTTTCCTCAAAAAGCATTTTATTTTTTAAAAAATCTAATTTCAATCAAAAAATCCAACTGCTAGATAGATTTTTTTTATCCACCCTGCTTTGCAACAAAGAATTTTATCCAACCTGGAGCAAGAAATGCCCAAGGTGCAAGCTGGATTTCAAAAAGGGAGAGTACTTGAGATCATACTGCCAATGTATGTTGGCTACCAGAGTACACCAAAGAATTTCAGAAAAAGAACAGCCTGTTCTTTACAGACTACAGCAAGGTGTTTTATTGTGTGGCTCATGAAAAGTCCGTCCTAAAAGAAATGAGGCTGCCTCAGCACTTGACTGTCCTGATGTGTAATCTACATGATAGACAAGAACTACTGTTAGGACTAAATATGAAGAGAAAGAATGGTTTCCCATAGATAAAAGCATCAGACAAAAGTGGATTTTATCACCCTATCTGTTCAATCCATACACAGAGCATATCCTAAAGAAAGCTGAATTAGGATCAGAAAAAGAAGAAATGAACACTGGCAGAACATATATAGGAATCTTAAGATATGGAGATGATACCGTATTACAGTCAAGAAATAGTGCTGTATTAAACAACTCCAGATAAGAATAAAAGAAGCAAGTGAAAAGCAGGACTACAGCTGCACATTAAGAAAACAAAAATCATGACTACAGAAGATTTACACAACTTTAATGTCAACAATGAAGAAAGTGGAATTGTGAAATATTTTGTATACTTGGCTCAATCATCAATTCAAAGGGAGACGGCAGCCAAGAAATTCAAAGACGAGTGAGACGTGGATGGACAACAATCAAAGAACTAGAAAAGATCATTAAGCGGAAGAATGTTTAACTGGAAACAAAGACCAAAACCATCTACACTATTGAACTCCTGATCACTGGGGTATGGGTGTAAAAGCTGGACAGTGAAGAAAGCTGACGGGAAGACAATGGATGCGCTTGAAACATGGTGCTGGAGGAGAGCTTTGTGAACTCTGGAGCAACAGAAGAGCAAAAAAGTAGGCCTCAGATCAAATCAAGCCAGAACTTGGCCTAGAAGCGAAAATGAAAAAACTGCAATGGTCATACATCACATGGGCACATCATGAGAAGGCTCACTGGAAAGACCATAAAACTAGGGAAGCAGAAGGCAGGAGACGAGAAGGACCAACAAATGAAATGGATGGATTCCATAAAGGAAGCCGCAGCCTTGAACTTAGAAGAGCTAAGCAAGGCTGCCCAGGACAGGAGATTTGGCTTTCACTCATGGGGTTGCCACAAGCCATAGCTGACTTGGTGGCATGCAAGTAAAACACAACTATTTTGTAGAAAGGCTGTCTTCCTCCTCTAAGTTCCCGGCATAATACTCTGGGTTTCTGTTTCCCCTTTTTATTGTGCACTACAAAAACATACAAACTACACCACTGAAGAGCCAAACTAAAAAGCTGCAAGTTTTGAACACAGTGTAAAAAGATCCACAGCACTAGTTACATGTACATTATATGTCTCTCTGTATTAGCATATAACAGAACATATTATTGTTGTTCAAAATTATTATGTTAACAAAGGCAGCCCAAATATCTACATATTTATGCATTTGTAGATTACATCTAAAGGCTACCCATTCAAAAATCAAACATTACATTAAATCCTCCACACACTGTATTATCACAGGTCACTGTTTATCCTTCTAATGTTGTAATATTAGTCTTTTAGCTATCAAAATGGCACAGAAACTCTATTTACTTTGACCTTGAGTTACATTCCAAAATATGGATAATAAAAACATGCGAGTCTTCATTACTTACCCATAGTAAGAACATGTGTATCCTTAAATGTTAAAGCACTTTCCTTCAAAAAAAAATTATCCTCTCCCTAAAGAAAGCTGCCATTGGGTCCGCCTGGCACAGTCGTTACTGGTTTTTCGGCGCCAGGTAAAGACCTTTTTATTTAAACATCATTTCAATTGTTAAAACATATGATCTGACCAGGGCAACTTCTTCTTCCTTCTCTTTCTCCTCCTATATTTTTATTTTATACTGATAATTTTAATTTTATATTTGTAAATCAATGTATTTTTTGTATTTTTATATTTAATGGTAATTTATTATGTACTATTGTATTTCAATGTATTTTATCATGTTGTAAGCCGCCCCGAGGTTTTGGCAAGGGGCGGCATAGAAATGTAATAATAATAATAATAATAATAATAATAATAATAATAATAATAATAGAAGCAGCGTTAAAACCACAACAGTGGGTTAATTTAATTAAGCCCTTGTCAAAGAAATGGTGTCACATCCAGTATACTTGATAGATCAATTTTTGTTGAATTAAGTGTAGCTAAGGGCTACATGACCCCCTAATATTGATGGGGTGATCCAGTTCATTCTTCCATTCCTGATTAAGACATTTTGTATCATAGTTATTCACCAATAATAAATACTTACAGACGTAAATGGTAGGCCAATGTAGCGATTCAGCCTCAACCAATACTAACAATGTAGGCAGCTCTGAAGCTGACCATACAGCAGCATCATTCTATTATGGTTCAATGACATATATTGCCATGTAGAAATAGCTGGCGACTTGTATTTAGCAAACAAATTAGAAAATGGTAGAAATTATCATCAGGACCAACAACCTGATCCAAAGTAAATATCAGCCCGACCAAATGTTTTCTTGCCAATCTGGATTTCCCTATAAGGTTAATTTTGCTTCTGAAAATACGTCAGACTGCAACTGACATTTAAAAAATGTGACACAACTCTCTAGTTGAGACACTGGGAGGGACACATTATCTATTTTGGTATGACAGAGTCCAAAGCAACCCACTTGGGCAGAGGATCCAGAAATAGGGATTCCAAAACTGACCAAGAAAAGGAATCAAATCTAAATGGAAAAGACCAAACTCTAGTACAAGCCAACCAACAGTGCACTAGTATAAGGAACGCTCAGGGAGACTAAATCCACACTCGTTGATTAAAAAGTTACCAATTTTTTTATAGAAATTCACAAAATTTCTAAAAAAGTAGAACCCCACAAAATTTACAAAACAAAACATTAAGATTCTGAAGTACTTGTCAGAAGAACCCAGGAATACTTCCTAAAACAAGCAATGTGAGTTACCATATTTATTTGAATTTTATTTACTACATACCATAGGCTTAACCTCACAGATGCCCACCTGCCAATGTCCCTTGGAATGTCATCAACCGACTTGCTTAGTTTTAACTTAATCATTTGTGATCTATGAGATACTAGGTACATGTATTGCTAGATAACTAATAGACTTGGCACAAAGTTTGAACTGTCAATTAGATAATACAGTATTATCTCCAACAGACATGAGAACAAACAGATTTTTTTTCCATTTTTAAAATGTTATTTGGAATTGTATAGTAGTGCTGTAAAATAACAGAATTTTTCCACATGTTAATTTTCCCTGTCTAGACATGTCACACAAACAGTATTTAATGGTGTCTTTGAGGATTAAAGAAATTACAAATTAACAAGAAAATGGAGAAAGCACCTGCTGCAGAGTGGTATAAAACATTTTCAAGCTTTTTAGATCCCAAACTTTATTGCTTGTATAACTCTATTTCTGAATCAGGTTCTCTTTGATACTTACAGTAATTCCCAAACCAGATAGAAATCCGACCTTCTGCAGTAATTATCCACCCATTTCACTGATTAATGTTGATATTAAAATACTACCTATAATTTTGGCTGACAAAAAAGTTATGTTAGTCCAGCCAGACCATGTGGGTTTGATTAAGCACAGGCAGGGAGCTCCTGTCTTAAACTGGCTGTGGATCTTATAGAAGGATAGCAACGACACCATTATCATTACCTCTATAAATGCTGAGGCCTTCCAGAAAATGTGTGAGAAATTTCTCTTTGCCACATTAAGAAATTTTAGCTTTCCTCCTGAAGTTCAGAGATGGGTTAAAATTTTATATGAAACTCCTAGAACCAAAGCCAGGACCAATGGTTTCCTCTGACTCTTTTAA